CCCCAAAACCCCAAAACCCCAAAACCCCAAAACCCCAAAACCCCAAAACCCCAATTCCTGTTGCCCCGTTTAAATAATTGGGTATTTTTATGAGCATGAAAACCATGAATTTGAATTAGTTGGAAATAACCCCTGGCCGTTAGCTATAGCTATACACAAGTTCATTAATGAAGAAGTGCAAAGGTATGCCTCTGGTCTACTATCTCGAACTTACTCTAGCTCAAAGAATTTCCTCCTTTTAGCTATTTCATCATGTCCTTTCACGCTGGATACTGCACCATACTCCATAGTTCCTGGGTCGGACTGGACTGCTAGGTCTTCTAAGTCGGTCCACTTTTGCTTCTCTCCGCTGAGTATTTTCTTGAGGTCCTCCATGTCTCAGCATGCTTCCATCCAGTAAGTATGCATCTCTTCCATACTTTTTCCATAAACTTTTCAGTATTCTTCTAGTTGATTTGTGATCTCTCTGAAGTAAGCCTCTTCTCTAGTTTTCTTTGGCAGAGTTGACTCTACAGTGTACTTGTGATCTAAGTTTGAATGGATCACTATCTTTGCCTTATTAGCAACGAAGTCATACAGATCATCCTGATCGTAAATAGTCGTGTCACTCTCGTTGAAAAGAGTACCGTGAGTGGCACTTTCAGTTACCTTCACTCTTTGAATATTTTGCTCTGTGTAATTTTCGCAAAGTACACCCAGAGGAGCAGACTTCTTTTTTTTTCGACAGTTGAGGTTGTAAGAAGTATCCACATCTTCTGGCCCATGTGAGATTGCTGATTGCATGTCCTCAATAGCTAAAATAAACTCCATTTCATCCCCTTCATTGTCAATTATGGATGGTTCTTTAGTGTGGACATCCATTTCGAGCTCTAATTCCTCTTTCTCCTCCTCTTCTTCTTCTTCCTCTTCGTCGTCCTTGTCTTCTTCCTGGCACTCGCTCTCGCTGCTGCTGATGCTTGGCTTTCTCCTTGCTCTAGGGGTTCTTTTCTTTCTCTTTGGGGTAGCTTCCTTCTTAGGGCTTGAGCTTAATGAGTTGGCTGAGCACTCTTCTTCTCTAGGCTTAGTACTGGCTGTATTTAATAAAGAAGCCAAGTTCTTCTTACTTGCTTTCCTCTTCACTGGCTCAGGGACTTCTGGAGGATCTGCAAAGTTATGTGAATATCTCGTTCCTGCTTTCTTCAGGGCAGCTTTGACGAACTGAGCCTTAGTTATAGCTGAGAATTTTTTCCAAGCAGTCCTCAAGCTTGTGGCAGTTCGGTCCGGTATAATGTTTTGAGCCTCTATTTTCTGGAAAAAGCTTAACGGTGGAGTTTTAGTAGTTTTTTTCTTATATCCCTCCTGCTCGTACACTTCCCAAATTTTGAGAACTTCAGTAATAGTGTACTGCTTCTTTTTACTTTTGGGAATAGTGCACAAGGTAGACTTTTTATGGAATCCGACTAGGTAATCATCACTATCTTCGACATCAATAAGCTTCCCTTGTGCTATTGAATCAAGAATCCAGTCTGATTTGTACACGAACCCTCTATGGAAGGTGGATGGCTTCCTAGACTTCAATGTCGGGATTTTTATTTGATAAACAAAGGCTTCATATCCATCTGTAACAATCCCGCCATTATTTTGAATTTCTTCGACAAGTTCTTTTCTTCCACTACATTTTGGGACAAAGAAGAGCATAGGAACCATGCCAATGACAGTATGCTTTTTGACGAAGATATTTTTAGTTTTCTTCTTTCCTTTGGCTTTAGGAGTGGAATAACCTCCAGCTCTCTTTCTCTTCCGGGCAACCATTATTAAAATCAATTAATTCTACTTGAAATGGGGTTTTGGGGTTTTGGGGTTTTGGGGTTTTGGGG